TTGCTGCTGCTGCTGTTGCTGCTGCTGCTGCTGCTGCAGGGCGTGATGTCTCTATTGATATTCGCTCCTTCCCCCTTCCGTGTTGCTGCAGCAGTCTCCATCCTGGGTACGTGTATACTCCCTGTCTGCTGCTGCTGCTGCTGCTGCTGCTGCTGCTGCTGCTGCTGTTGCTGCTGCTGCTGCTCTGCTGCTGCTGCTGCTGTTCTGCTCCTTCTGCTATATCTGTTCCCTCTGCATCTTTTGGTGCTGCATCGTCGGCTGCAGCAGCAGCGTTTCCTCTTCTGCTGCCCCTGCTCCCGCTGCTGCTGCCGCTGCTGCTGCTGCTGCTGCTGCTGCTGCTGTTGAAGTTTGTTTGTCTCTCTGTCTCTCTGTCTGCATGCATGCATGCATGCAGGGCTGTCTGCGGGCGTGTTGTTGAGTGGAAATTTGGGTTTTTTGGGTCACCTGGTTGCTGCGTTGTGTCTTTCTCTCGCCGACGATAAACTGTGGGGTGTCTCCGCACCTCCTGCTGTCTCCCTGGTAACAACACACACACAAAGCTGCTGCTGCTGCTGCTGCTGCTAGTTGTGCTGCTGCTGCTGCTGCTGCTGCTGCTAGTCGTGCTGCTGCTGCTGCTGCTGCTGCTGCTGCTAGTTGTGCTGCTGCTGCTGCTGCTGCTGCTGTTGCTAGTAGTGCTGCTGCTGCTGCTGCTGCTGCTGCTGCTGCTGCTGCTGCTGTTGCTAGTAGTGCTGCTGCTGCTGCTGCCGCTGCTGCTGTTGCTGGTAGTGCTGCTGCTGCTGCTGCTGCTGCGGCAGGCTGCGCTCGTTAGTGGGTTTGATATGGCTCTGTATCTCAGTGTATGAGACATCCTTTTGTTTGTCTCCTTTCTGCTGTCTCCTTTTTTCTGTCTCCTTTTATCTGTCTCCTTTCATCTGTCTCCTTTTTTCTGTCTCCTTTTACCTGTCTTTTTTTGTTGTTTTTTGTCTCCTGCTGGCTGTGTCCTTTCTGCTGTCTCCTTTTTTGTCTCCTCTCCGCTGCTGTCTCCTTTCTGCTGTCTCCTTTTTTGTCTCCTTTCTGCTACTGTCTCCTTTTATCTGTCTCTCTTCTGCTGCTTGCGTTTGACTGTCTCCTTTCTGCTGCTGCTGTCTCCTTTTGCCGCTGCTGTCCCCTTTTGCCGCTGCTGTCTCATTTTGCTGCTGCTGTCTCCTTTTGCTGCTGCTGTCTCCTTTCTGCTGCTGCTGTCTCCTTTTGCTGCTGCTGTCTCCTCAGACCTTCCTCGAGCGGTGCGCCCTCATGGCTGGCCGTGTCTTCCTCTGCGCTGTTGTGGGGGTATACTTCCTGGTGAGGCATTACCAGCAGCAGCAGCAGCAGCAGCAGCGACAGCAGCAACAGCGACAGCAGCAGCAGCAACAGGAGGAGGAGC